CGGTAATGAGACAAGATGTGGAACGGTGAATAATCCTAAGATTTGGAGTGTAATGGTGTTAATTTTTTGGAAAGTATCAGAGAAGCACGTCATTAGGAGGAGTGTATGGGATGTGAATAGAATTTTTATTTTTTTTATTTTCTTATAAATATAGAAATGAAAAAGAAAAAGAAAAAAGAAAAAGGTAAGGGTATAATTGTTATTTTAAAAAAGTTCCATACAAATTAGACCAAAGTTACAAGGAATGAAACCTTTTGGACTAGTAGTGCAACTCCAAAATATTTTGGACCAAACTTTCAATATTTGACATACCACATGACCAAACTTGCAATTTTCTCTTATTTAATCATACTTCATTTTACTCATTCATTATATTTTAGTTTTAAATATTTGTTATGTATTTACTAATTAATTAATTCTTAAATATTTAATGACAATTTATTTATAAAATATAAGTTTTATATCATTTATATAGCATTTTGAATCATTTTTTATTTTTATAACTATGACATATTATTTTTTTGTATTTTATGTATATAAAATAAAAACATAACATAGTTATATTCATATTTTTGTTTGTTTGTGAAATTTAATATATAATATATGTTTAAAATTCGACTTATTAAATTGGGATGTTTTATAGAACATTTTAAATAGATAATGATATATTAGTTATTAATAAATAAATAAATAAATAAATAAATAAAATAAAATAAAAATAGTGGAAGAGGTTAACCATTAAAGTTGTTATTTATTTAGAGATTAAAGTCAGTGGAATGATGAATTGACAATTATTTTAAGTCATACCATAGGTTAACCATTGTAAATTATCTTCGTGCATAAAACCAACTTTCCAAATTGAAGCCAATATATCTTCAACAAAATCAAGGATGTTATGAAACTTGATAACCACGATCGGAGAAAGGAACGATCCTTATAAAATAACTTCCATTATATTTGGATGTGAAATCTCATGAAATTTGGTTTTTGTATTCGTCAAACATCGGAATCAAAGTAGTTTGTTCATTCATTTGAATGGCATATCTAAAATTAGGATTTTAAATGTATATATTTTGATGAAAAAATGATGTGTCTGGTTCGTGCTTTGCAAAATTCACTCATTGTTGCTATCGATTTCAAAGTGTGTCGCTCCCTTTGTTTTTAAAGCTAAATCGAAGGTAATTATAATATCCATTAAAGCGTCTCTTTTCTTTGTTTGCACGTGCTTTGGAGTTCATCTCTCAACAAATGTAACTATATTATCCATCTAAGTTTTTTCTCTTTACCAAATGAGTTTGTATTTTGACACCATGGATTTGTATTCTCTACCTTCCTTTTTCTCAAAAGATTTTTATGATTTTGTATGAATGAGAAGTATCATTATGTAACCACTTATGTCTTTTCTTAAACAATATGCAAATCAATAGCTATTGCATGATGTTTATTGATTTAATTCTTAATGGACTTAGGTTATGCAAGATCCAATTGTATCCCTCATTCTCAAAATATGCCCATTTTTTATCATACAGATATAGGTATTTGTCTGTGGGTCCGTAATAAATTGGAAATAAAAACACAATAGGTTTCTCGATTGTAGTTTCAATAGAGTTTTGAAAGATTCTATATACATTGGATTTTATCAATGAAGTTAGAAGTTATAGACTTTCTCCGTTTAATCCTCTGTTATTGGATTAGTTTCTTTATCTTATGGAAGAATCTTGATTCTCAAGGATTGTGTTTGACAGCCAAACCTAGTATTTAAGGTCCTAGGTTTTGTATTTTTGTTAATATAATGCTACTCCATATTCATTCAATCTAAATAATGAAATATTTATGAGAAATTAAATATCCTCCTATTTTGTTTCCTACAAAATCTTCCTACCCAATTAAATAATGAAATGTCTAATATTTAATACTCATTTAATGATATTTTAATATACTAATATTTATTGACCATATTCATTTAATTGGATAGAAAGATTTGTAGGAACAAAAAGTAAAAGGATATTTTATTTCTCAATATTTATTGACCATATTCATTCAATCTGAACAATGCAATATTTATTGAACCTTATTTTAACTTGGTATGATCATCTTGCAAGATATTTTAAAAAGTGTTATGTAAGAGGTAAAATATATATCCTACAATCCTAATTACCAAAAGTCAAGAATGGATGTTACTGACTTATTTTGGTTAGTGTAGATTTGTTGAGTGACTGAGAATAATTAAGTCTGAATTTCGTGGGTTGCCTTGGAGATAACATGTAGTTGAGCAAGATTTATTGCAAGTACAACATAGCAAAGCTTTGATACATTAAAGGATATGAAGCTAAAGAAAGTGAATTCATGTGTATTTGTCCCACATTAAGTACAAGTACACTTTCTATATTATATTATACTATATATAGAGAGCTTAGTATATTGAGAGAACTAAGCATCATATATTTTTTTCTATCATATCATATATATATATATATATATATATATATATATATATATACATGCAAAATCTTATGTATATACATAGAAATCCAACATAATACTTATCATCTTTTTCAACCTATTAAGTTTGTGAGGTATTTTTCCTTCTTATTAGTGATATAGACATAGAAGTGAGCGAGTGTTCGTTGCTAGGTTAGTTTGATTTATATAGGATTAGAGAGAGACATTTCTTGATGTAAAAGTATTTGAATATTGTTAATAGAAGTGTCTTCTTCTTAGTATTGTTGTGTTGATAAAAAATTTCAATTTTGTAAGTCTTCCTGAATGAATGTAAATAATTAGTTTTCTTTGTGAGAGCTATTCACAAAGTGTGTTAAATCATAATAAGTTTTTGGTCTTTTCTCTATATTTTGGAAATAGATTATCAACCTAAATTTGTGTGTTATCCATTGATTGGTTTACTATTTAGGGACAAACATGTTATTATTAAGTTTTAAATTGATAGACATGTATGTGCAACACGAACTTAATAAGCCCTAGGCTTACCCAATTAAAATTTTAAATGTGCGCAACCGATGAAATAATATAACGAGTGGCAATGGAGAAGGGAAAGAAGGCTTAGCCAGGAAGATGACAAAGAAGCTCTACAAGGATGTAACACATGAAGCTCTTAGTCAAAGACTTTATTTTACTGTTAGTGCTTTTATTGTAGTTTAGACAATAAATAAGAGTTATAACTGATCTTGAAGGGTGTTGGAATAGTTATTATATTGTTATTTACGAACTTTGAAAATTAGGATAAAAACTTACCACTTACCAAAATTAAAGATGACCAAGCTAATCACGTAATTAAGACATTACTCAACATATAACCCCCCTTAAATGACATGGATTAGGGTTATACATCTCCTGAACGACTTCTTCTTCTTCTCCTCAAATATGGATAATATCCTCGTACAATGTTGTTATGTCCGACTTAGCTAGCGAGGGATCCAGTTCGTGATAGAGAACAAAACAACGAGTGTACCTATGTTCACCTCTTCTCCAACAAACACTAAAGTTGAAGGATAACTGCAGGTCGGTAGCTATGTAAGGAAACTCCTATCTGATCATCCGTCTCCTACCCCTGAGAGGCATCTACCTCATCCCCATTACAAAAAGAGGTTTACTATGTTGGGGGCACTTCTTTTTTCCTTTTTAGAAAGAATGAAACACATAAGGGGTCGTCCCTTTGTTTCAGCTTGCTCCTTAGATTGTGGATTCATATGGGCCTCAGACCCTGCTTTGCTTAGTTTACTGACAACGACAAATGCTTGATTGATAAGTGCGACGAGGAGATGGAGATTCGAGAAAAAAATTATGAATAAGTAAGTGAAGGTTTGGCCTACATGCTCAACTCAAGTAAGAAGAAACTATAAATTCAAGCCTATTGTATTAAATGGTGGCAGAGGGAGTACTCGGCCACAAGACATTGTTGTCCTTTTTTTGCACTTGGAAATTGTTGTAACTTAGCAATTTGATTGTTCTAGATCAAACATGGCAATGATTGTTAGTATGCTTCCTGGGCCTTACTTCTTGATGACTAATCTATATTATCAGCTGATGGAAACCATTCAAGAGAGTTATAACCCTAATTTGTTTCATTTAAGGGGGTTATATGCTGAGTAATGTCCTAGATGTTAGGTGATATGCCAACTAAGTATTAAATATGCCAACTAAGCAACCAATTACTCTAAGGTGTAATTTGAACAAAACGTGCACTTGGATGATATTATGTGTACAAAGGCCCTACCGATACTTTTTGTACCGACTAAACCTGAATGACGTTTTTTTGAACAAATTTGAAACTTAGTTAGCCTCCTAAGACATTTTCTCAATTAGTCCATGCAATGTAAGTCATAATTTTCCATTTAATTTTTTTGACCGATAATACTAACTAACCCAATAAGTCAATTATCATAGGTGTAATTTGAACAAAACGTATATTTGGAAGGTATTTGGTATACAAAGACTTTAATTCACTGATATTTTTTTATTGACTAAACTTACATGAAAACTTTTAAACAATTTTGAATCTTGATTACTCTCATAAGTTATTTTTCCTATTGTCTAGTCTATCCGAGATAGGGGATAAAGGAGAGTTCTAGCACACACTAAATAAATAAATAAATAATGGAGGCGTTTGTGTGTGTGTGTGTGTGTGTGGGGGGGGGG